TTATTCACCTTTTTTATGTAAAATAAGACTAAGACATACCAAATGAGAAATGTAAGGACAAGTTTTGTTAGGTTATAGTACTATATCGCATATCAAGAACGCAAGAATACATGCGCTGAAAGCACTCTGTATTGCCTATGCACGTCTCGGTGAAACTCAGTAATCGAGACGCCACAAGACCACTTTTACTCTAGCAAGAGTATACGACTAGAAGTATTAATATTTAATATTAATAATCAACGCGGATTGTCCAGAATGGATGGTCATGTTTTTGAGGATCAACGTCGAGCCACCGAACAAAGAAAGGAAAGAACTCGATTTTAAATTTCTTTAGATCGTGTATCGTTTTCGTTTTGCCTTTTATATATATACATAGATATATACGTAGTTTTATATATCGGCCATTGATCCTTGGAAAGTTTCCTACGTCGTCGGACGCTACATCAGAGATGGGCAAAATTTTATTTAAATAAGAAGATACAGTCATGTGTTCGATCGAGCAATCGTTTAAATATGCATCACGATATTAATTTCTTTCTATAATTCGAGTTTCAATTTTTATTCAACGGGTAACGAATCGAAAGTCGTTCATCTTTTATTCGTTACACGAAATTTTTATCTGGATAAAACTTCTGCCCATCTCTGCGCTAGGCGAACAAACGTCTTTTTTCTTCCTTTTTACGACGCATCTCTCTTTTATCCGGAGACAGATCATTTTTAAATGCGAAAGTACAAATTACGTGGGTACTCGTTGACCCTCTCCTGCGAGGCTTTCCTGGCGTAATATTTTGACCGTTCAAGGCCACGGAATTGTATCCCCCCCCCTCCCCCGTCGTTTGACTATTCTATTGCTTCGTTGCGCATGGGGAAGCGACCTTGGACCGCCAAAAAAGGGATTCAGCGATTTCCTGTAGACAATTTAAGGGATCTTCTCGCTTCGCTGCTTCGATAAATGGGTTAAAGAATTTTTCTTTTTAAAGACATGCGCATGGTTTCGTCGATTCTTTAACGAGGTTTTAAAATTGTTACAGCTATGTCTATAGTTGTGCCTGCAATGTGTGCAATACCGCACCTACTTTCTTAAAAAAAGAAAAAACATTGATATCTTCTTCTTTTATTCTTCTTCTTTTATTTCAATTAAGTTTGGTATCGCCGGAAAAGAGCTCTCTCTGAAAATAATTATAGCTGTGTCGGACAACGCAGAAAAGCGGCCACTCGATTTTTCGAAAGCGACAAACGGGAAGATCTCTTATAAAAGACGTTTGTATTGTTTTCTTTGCTTTTGTTTCTGTTTTTCTTTTTTTTTTTTTTTTAAGATTAAACTTACTCAAAGACTGATGGCCATTCATTATGGGAGGTTCTTGTAATAATCGTAATCTCACGCTGCGCGATCATGCCAGCCGAGCGCATGATCGCCGGAAGTACATCGACGTTGTACGAGAAGACAGGACAAGACTATATAGCCTATTATTGGCGAACGATGCCCGCGGGCCATCGTACCATGAGACTAAATGAAAAAAAAAAATCGATATCATAATTATGTGTCGTTTGATATAAACGAATAATTAATTATTAGTATGTATCATCGTTTTATACACAACCTAATTATATCTACGTACACTATGTACATTCCTAGTATACACTGCGAAACACACGTACACACGTGACACACACGAACACACACACATACACACGGTACACGTTTACATACCACGTTGCATTACACGCGCTCGTACGAAAGAAACAAAAGATTAAAAATGGAAAAAAAAGAATTATAACGCATGGACCTATTGTATACGTGTACGCGCGTGTGCATGCGCACGCAGAGACACTACACGTACGAAATATATTTATAATAATTATATAAATATATATATATATATATAGCTATTCCAAAACGGACCACCGCGACATCGACATATACGAAGATCATAATTTAAAATTATTGCAAAACGAGAAAAGAAAAAAAATCGAAATTACGTGAATTAAATCGTCGCACGACCGATACGTGCGCAATTTAAATAAATAACAATCGTGGGGTTGAATTATACGAAACAAGCGTTTTAAATTTCGTTGTCGAGGGAGCAGCAGCAGCACGAACCACCAAGCAGCGCCGTTGCCCAGTGTCTCATGTATAACAAAAACGCAATCGAGTCCTCTGTCAATTTTCCAAATACACGGAAAGTATCCTCTGTGTGTGTATACGTATACAAAAGAAGACGAAGGGAAACGAAAACATTGTAATAAAAGTTTAAACAAACAAAAAAAAAATGAATTAAATAATACGCGCATGTATAGCAAAGAAGTTGTTACACTTGAGCACAATAGAGAGAGAACAAAGTATATGGAGTATAGTTTTACACGAAGGCTTTATCGCCCGTTTAGTTTTATACCTGAGACACGAAGAAAAGGCTGAAACGGTTAGACGATACAGATGAAAAAAAAAAAAAGATGAAATAACAGAAACAGTTCGACTACCACCCCATCCATTCCCTTCACCTCTGTGTTCTCGAGATTCTTTCTGTCTTTCCGAGATCGAATTTTTATCGCTCGCCACAACGCTGGACCGAATTAAGACCTTGGACTCACGGATACAGCGCGAGGTGTAAATATTTTCGAAAGTATTGCGGGAAGTCGAAGCTGCAATAATTATTTACCAGTGCATTTTGAACCAAAGTTGAAGGAAATAATGGAGAAAAATCATTTTTTTCTTTTTTCAGTACTTTTTTATTTTTAAACGAAAAAGATCCTTCTTGTAATATATAGTTGACGTATGTAAATATAATGTAAAAATCGGCTGACAAAATTTCATTTCGTAACGCGTGCGAAAAATGATTCGATATTATTTGATACGAAAGAAATTTTATATACGAGAATAATTTTATATAATCGTTTCGGAAGCCCACGCCTTAATTCGGCCCTAGCCGCACGCATAAACGCCAACGATGAATACTATACGCGCGGTCACGTTGCATCCTTTTCGTACACGGGACTTTTCTCGGCGTCGTTCGTCTCTGTTGTGCAAGACTTTGTACCGATTTCGTTTAGCTTAGCGCACGGCAGAGATGGGCAAAATGTTTTCCCGGATACGAGTCGTTTCCAAAGCGAATTAATTTGTTCGATAATAATTGCCAATCGGAATTATAAAATTAAGCGATGTATGAACGAATAAAAATTTATCCGAATGCGTTTCCGTTCGTCATTTGTTGCGCGAGGAAACTTTTGCCCGTCTCTGCGTATAATGATATTTTTCGAAAAATCATCGGGGAACGCGACGATGTTTATTCGAATCGGTTTCGGGGCAACGTCGCGTTCTCCACTCGTCGCGGACCAATTGTTTCTTATTAGCCAAAGTTTAGAATTTGTGTTTATTATCTAGTTCTTCCTTTTCTTCGCAATCCACCTTTTTCCTAATCTCCTTTCCAATCCTCCACTCCCTTCCCCCCTCCCCCCTCCCCCCTCCACCCTCCCAACTCCTCTGCCACACCGAGCCCCATTTCTCTTTTTCATTCTGTCATCTCTTTCACACTCATACTACACATGGACACAGGACATATATGTTTGACATATTATTATATTTACAATTATTTTAATTATAATTTTCCAGAAGTATATATTATCTTTAATAATCGTGGTAATTTTTAGACTAGAAGAACAATATATTAGCGGATAGAGATTAAAGTATACATACAACAAAAAATGAAGCGAATATATATATATCAATATATATATATATATATATGTACATATATATATATCAATATATATATATATATATATATTGATAAAATATTGAGATCGTAATTAGAAATTGGGTCGAGTGCATACAATGCTGAAAGACGATAACGGTATTTACGTGTAAGAACGTTAACGAGATAAAAGAAAAAAAAAAACGAAAAAAAAAATAATAATAAAAAACGGTTCGAGCAGATGGAATAAAAGCGGACTTGACCAACGTCGTCAAGCTGCTCGCAGAGAATTCAATGATTGAACAAAAAGGAGATCAGTAAATGTAAATGTTTGTAAACAAATTATGAAACATTATTTGTTCAGTGCCTACATATTTACACAGTAACAATAAAGATGAAGATTAGTGAATATCCTCCCGTCTCTTTGATTTCATCGCCAAGAAGACTCGACCACCCCGATAAGAACATCGTCTATGTTGCTGCGTCGAATTCAGAGATGAGTAAAATTCTTATCCGATACAAATGTAAATTTAACCCTTTGCGCTCGAGGAATTTTTCTGTAAAATCAAATCCAGTCCATTTTTATAATAAATTTCTGTGAAATCAAAAACTCTACTTCGAAGAAAAACATCTACGAACGTTCATGACTCGATGTATTATTATTTCAATTAATAATTAGTTGTATTCTGATGTAAGTGAATTTGAAATTGCACGTTCACAAAATTACTAGACGCGCCACGCGAGCGCAAAGGATTAAATTAAAATTGAAAATGTCATATTTCTTATACACGTCATCTTTCCAAATTCTTTATTATTATTCTTTTAAATTTGTCCACGATGATTCTTCCTCACTATAAGTGAAAAATCTCTGTTTAGTTTGGAACGAGCACGACGCAGGAATTTAAAATAGAATATAACACCGTTGCTGTCAGGCGGTAACATCAAAGTGCATGTATCAGGTTCCAACCAGCCTCGAACATGCGAAAATGTAGTCAGATCTCAAGGTGATAGGATAAAACACAAACATAAAATTTATCCGAATTAAATTTGGCTTATCTTCAAATTACACGTGCGAGTGTCTTTATTAATTATTTAAATTAGCTGCTTTCCGTTTTGTATTCGCATATTAGGGTTCCGAGCGGTTCCGAGTGGTTCCGGGCCCCAAGAAGAGGCGCGCCCCCACCACCGGTCCCTCCCTTTGCAGCTCGCGCGGTTCCGAACGGTTCCGAACGGTTCCGAGCGGTTCCGGGCCCCAAGGAGAGGCGCGCCCCCACCACAGTCCCCTTCCTTCGCAGCTCGCGCGGACGGTTAATCTCACCAGTTGAATTTCGCCGCTCGAACACTTTGCATCTGATCGCTCCTGTCGACACTTTCTTTACGCGTCTTGTCATCGCATCGACGTTTCTTGACTGATTATCATTCGATAATTATTTCTTAAATAATTACTCGCTAAACACTCACTTCTTAAATAATTATTCGCTAAACACGCGTTTTTTAAATAATTATTTAATCAATTTAGCGCGTTAACGCGCGAACATATCTTCAACACTGATCGAGATGCGGCAGGTGTGGATCGTGCAACAATTACCGATGCCGGAGGTGTCGAACGTGTTTTATCCATTGAACACGAGCCTGGAGGACGAAATGAAGAGATTGTTTACGAACTTCTGGATCGAGAAGACTACATCTGCGCCTTCGGTAAATGGTAAGTCGTTTCTTTTCTCGGTTTTCATATTAATTAGGATTTACTGGAAATAGATGCGATGGTTGTCTTTAAATCATAGCTTTCGTTCACCTTGCCGGCGAGGAACAGATTCGTGTTTCAAAGTGTTTTAATTTGCCGTGCGCTCAATGTCGCGCTAGGGAACTTGTAACATAATCGTTTTGCGTCGTACAGTTACATAGATAGCATTGTTCGTTTAATCATAAATTAAGTCGGCAGATTATTATACGTTTTCATGAATTTCTTTTTAGTATACAATTTATTAGATCTACCAGAAATACATATTCCGTATTCATTAAAAACGATATATAAATTGCAATCATCCTGTCGAGATGTCATAAATAATGATAAAAAATTACATTATTCGATAAAATTTATTCAATATACGAGAAATTTATTATTTTGTGTTATTCTAAAAACGAACAGAACTTTTCGGTAGATGTGATATATACATTTTTTCGAGCATCCCTTTTCGTTTAGAATAAAAGAAACTAATTATTAGTAATTATTTTTGAGAATTTCGGATCTTGTAATGTATAACGAAATAGCGTCGACAGTTTGTATACCGAATTTCTGTTTCGCTATGGTCACCCTGTCATCTGCCACAAACTTCGTTTGTTTTCGATGGATACATACATATTGTGACACGTAGTTTCGTGTCAAGTTTAAAGGAATCCTTTTTTAATTAAATCAAACTGAGAAATATTCATAATGTAGCACAGGAGATTTAAACTGAAACATTTTAGATATTCTTAAAATATCAGATAGTCGAATTTCAAATTGTGTATCCAGATCGTAATTGTGCGCCAAGTTTTGATCCGGTCTTTCTGTATTTAGTAATCAGTCGAATCGATAAGAGAAATTCTAAAACGTGCCCGTGGCACAACTGGTTATCGTCGATTCGTAGAACCCCTTTATTGAGTCCAATTCGCCGAAGTCAAGAAACTTCAGTAAATATACTTTCTATTTACTTCTCGATCGTAGCTTAATTTACCGCGGTGTTTCCCGAACTAGAACGGCGCACTACAGAAAATGTAATCACGTGTAATTAAAGTAGAGTTCTTGATCTTTCGAATGGGATAGGTACATACCGATTAAAAATATTATTCAAAGAATAATTAAACACATGGATTTAGTTAAATTGGAAATAATTTCTATTTATATTAATGTAGAGATATTCTTAGTTTATTCGAAAATTATTCAATTCATTTCGTATTTTTATTTGAATAGAAATAACATTAAGTTGAGCAAATTTTATTCTCGTGCACGAAGACCTTTGTGCATGACCTTTCCACAGATTTATTATTCGTTATTTAATTCTACCTTTGTTAAAAGCAGTACAAACTAGTCAAATGTGTAAAACACGAATGACTTCTATCTAGATGTATACTAAACACGTAATAATTAATTCCATCAAGAGTTTGAGAAACGCTGGCACAGGCTGTCGAATTCCGAGAAAATGATGTCACCTATACATGTAGGGTGTACTTGGTCGAGATGAAAACAAAGATAAACGTTAACGAATGTCGTTAATCTTTTTCTCTCGATCGAATTTTGAAGCGCGTATTTATGATACTCTATATTTACTTTTCGGTCGAGCATCGATTCCATGGCGGTTTCTCCTTCATCTTAAAAATACGATGACTGTTTACAAAGTGTGAAATCGGATACAGCAACCGTTATTCTCTCGATTCATGCGCTATCGAACCCTCCGGTCGGCAAAAAGACTCAACGAAAATAAACGATCCGGCGCGATAATTAAGCAGCCATACATTTATGTTTTGGTTTTTTTTCATATTCAAACTTTCTATCAGCGCCTCTAAGGAAAACTATGTCATAAACATTTCACGTATTTTCGTCCATGCGACGAATTTAGAAATTTTAATGAGACAATGCATTATCATTCTTGATTAATTACTGTTAGACTGTGAACTTTTATGCAATGTGTATAAAATATCAAGAATAGTTTAAAAAGTAGAAGAAACTTTTATTTAAGCTTATATTCCCTTTCTATACCTATGAAGATATGAACTTGCATAAACATCCAGTCTGCACATTAGTATTTCTTCTGCAGTCCATAGTCGTGGTCTACTAACAATTTTTATTTAAAAAATACTCTTTGAAGTCGAAGACGGCATTTTTATCTGATATACATATTGGATTGTACAGAAAGTTCGTGGCAATTTTTAAGAAAACTTCAAAGGCACATTTGAATTTCGATATATATTTAATATATATTTATATTTGATTATATATATTTATATATATATATATATATTTTTATTATTATTATTATTATTAAAGGTATTAAACCACCTACGGGATTATTAGCAATATGCACATAGATGTGCATATTATCAGTACATATATAGATTTACATTATAATATATGAAATACAATACAATGCGACAATACAATTTCGAAAAAGAGTGCAAAACATGAATCAAGAATAATAATAATATCAAGAATTATAGGCTTATCATTAAGGATATACACAATTGTTTTTCAGAAATTTTTTCAGAAAATAATTAGCCGCGGTTTATATTTATATTTGATATATATTGAATTATATAAGTACCATTTTGTTTCGCAACTTTTTCCACCTTTTAAGAGATGTACACATGTCATTTGTTTCTAACCATTCCAAGATATGTACATATAGTTGTAAAAACAATATGGCGAGTAAATATTTCTGTTTAAACCACAATCATAAGTAATCAAATACAAAGGCACATAATTGATTTTTACGTGTAATAATAATACATAATCAAGCAAACAGACAACTTTTAATCTTCTCTCAGTCACATTCTATAAAAACACATATATGTATTTAGACTTGTACCACGTACCAAAAATCGGCATGGACTTTTCAGACAAACCAATATAAATAGTTTTTACAACAAAACAACTATAATTCATAATAATTTTACCTACACTCTCAATTGATATAATTTTTGTGATGTTGAATGTTGTAGTTGAGGATGTCATGGAAGAGTTCCGTCACAATGGCCGCGACTTCGAGTACTGTCCAGATATGGACAGCGACGCATTGAACGAAAAGTCGCCGCCACGTCGCAAGAAGAACAAGAAACCTTTGCCTACAGAATGCGTTTTCTGTAGAAACAATGGCGAAGAAGAGACTTACTACAGGGAACACTTATTGAAAGACGTCGATGGCCGCGTCCGTTGTCCAGTATTGAGGTAGACATTGCGAAATTTCAATTTTACCATGTATTTATAGATGACGCAATTACGTTTATGCAGCAGACGATTCAGAAAGTATATTTCTGTGGTTAGAAATATTTCTCCATGGTCCTTTAGTGTTTCATCTTTTGTAATTTCTAATCTTATATAATCTGAGGTTTAGACATTTCTCTTAGCACCCCGTCGCAGCGAACAAACGTTTATTTTACCTGTATTGTACCTATTTTATCCAACGTCTTGATACACAACGAACATCGAATTTTAGACCAATCAATAGAGCATTTTTGTGTGACAAAAATAGTAACATTAAACCGATTGTGCAGTTACATAAAATGGGATGCGTAGATTTATAAGTATATGTTTTTCACTTCAACTCTGTTCCGTTTTCCTTGCACAATCGATTCGCTGTTACTATCTTTGTTACAAAAACGCTGTTTTAATTCTCTACCGAATGGCCTATTTACAATTATCGCGAGCGAATCTCAACGGACCTTAGAATTTTCAAACAGGCGAAATAACTTGAAATGCTTTAAATTTCTCGCAATTCACACCGTTTTTTCTCCTTTGTCTGTCCTCAGAGCGTACACGTGTCCAATTTGTGGCGCTACTGGCGACGAAGCCCATACGATCAAGTACTGTCCAAAGAACCCTGGAACGTGGACAACCGTGAACGCCTTCAAACTGTTGAGAAACTCGATGGGCAAACGACGCAAGTAAAAATGCGCGTGCATTTTTACTCGACGTCCTCGCGTCGTTATCGTGTTAAAAAACGACGCGACGATTTTCTTCGGGGGCTCGACGCTTGGAGCTTCGAAATTCGACATGTTCGATCGTTCCTCCGTATCATCTGCTGGCAGGTAATCGTGTCGTTGACACCCTTCGAAGTAACAAATCAACGAAAGTATATCAAGCGGTAATAAGCAATATACATGTATATATGTATATTTAATAGATTCCTAAGAACGTTTTGTCCAATGAAAGTTACCACTCGTTGATCTATCAGCCAAATATATCTGTCGTACAGATTGCGCTGTCGAACACGGACAGAGTCTCCAGGTCGCGCAACAGGGAGGAAAATTTATTTTACATTTTCTTTTCGGTATCGAAACATTTTTATAGTTGGTGTAGAGGGAATAATAACGACGAAGATAATTTTTCAGTCTCGAACAAATCTTTATTAACTTCTCGGTCTTTAACTAATACATCTTTAATATTGAACAGTAACCAGAATGGAGGATAATTCTGAACGAAATTGTTATAATTAGTTTTGACATTACTAATTGTGAGCGAAAAAACTACGATAAATTCAAACGTACAACAATTGAGAAATAAAATAAAAATACTTAGAAACTATTCACAAAAGTGTAGAAAACGCGCCTATTAGAAATATCGGGAGGCCACTAAGTAACATACAAAATAAACAAATGATCGAAACGGTTTATAAATATTAATTTTATAAGTGAAATAAATTTTCGGAACCTGCGACGAACGAAACGGAAGTGCCTTAAGTATTACGTAATTCTGGGTCACCTTGTACCGGATCATCGAGCTTGTAGCGCGGATTGTCGAGAAATTAGGAGGCTACAGCCAAAGATCATAGTTCGTAGAAACTATTTATACTTTTTCGTGCCATATGTTCTCGGTGAAAATATTTCGTTTGTTCCTTAACGAATAACATCGCAAATTTCATCGTCATCGTTCATTTTCTTAGACAGAAGACGCGCATTTACAGATACAACATCGAGTCAGCAGTTGATATTGATCTTTTTCTTTTTTTTTTTTTTTTAATCGAGCGTGTATCGCGCATTTACACGTATCGATCCCGACGGAATTTTGTTCGCAATGATTGGCACGGTAGCTTGTTTAAAAAACATATTTGTCGTAGCTATAGTTCCGACGCTCCATACTATATTTCTATAATATACATTCCCAAGATTCTAATCACGATAAATATGGAATTTGATCGCATTGGCGTAGAATTTGCGAAACCTTTACTCGTATTTTTCGAAACGATTTTAGACGTTAATGCAACGAGCACTGTGATAACGAGACAATCCCTTTTTACGCGGAAGCCGTGCATTACACGATTCGTTCGACTACTACGATTACGTATTCAGATCTTGTCTTTTAAACTAATTACGCCGTCGAAAGAAATTTTGAGAATCAGATCGAACGGTAAAATCCCTCTTTCATCTTACGATGTTTCACGGCCTAAGCAATTCCAGAGTTAGATTTTAACTCGCCTAATTAAGTGCAAATATATATATATTCTCTTCCACGAGACGATAATACGATTAGATTTAGAATGACTTTTCTACATATCGATGGAGAATGTAGTTCTCTTTTATTTATAACAGAGTTGTTGCACAGTTACAAAGACTGTGTTTGTATTATATTAAACACGAGAGAGCATTCTTTATAAACTACTTAATCCTTTAAGCGGTCAGGTGGACAAATACGGCCAGTGAGAGTTGAAGTTCCTTTTACGCGTTAATTATTGGGTAGCTTTGACACATTCGAGATCCGATGACTCAGCCGATGGGTCACATTCAAAGTTTAGCTCGTGTGGGTTAAGGAAAATTAAAATTGATGCTTGCGAATTGAGAAATCAAGTCAAGTACGCGGGTAATTGGTACAAAAATGATTTAAAACAATAATAACTGATATTCTAAATCAGCGCCTGCCTAATCCTGTTCTATTGGGTTGTCCGGAATGTTCGTGTCAATTTGTAAGAAACATTTAAAGACACGTTTGAATTTTGATATATATTTTGAAATACATTTTAAAATTCCCTTTATAATATAAATTCAGATAACTATTGTACAATGCATAAATACAGGTGCACCGATTTCGATGATTTTTAAATATGTTGAAGAAATCAACATTTTCAATAACATTTTCCTATACATATTGAATATTGATGTATATTTTGAAATACAGTCAGTGTAATAAATATTCGCACAACGACCATTTATTTTAAATTGGTTGCTGTACGAATACTTTTTACACTGACTGTACATTTTAAAATTCCCTTTATAATATAAATTCAGATAAGTATTGTAGAGTCTATAAATACAGATGCACCTTTTGTCTGACCGTATATAAAATTAGTAAGAAAGAATAACTAAAGAGATCGTCTATAATGTTATTATTTTTATTGAATTATATATGTATCGGTCTGTTCCACAATTTTTCCACCTTTTAAGGGGATGTCCACATGTTATTTGTTTTCAACCATTCCCATATACAGACCTGTATATTCGGACCTGTACCGCCTACTAAAAACCGGCATGGACTTTCCAGACAACCCAATAAATAACAACGCTTGCATTAATTACCCGCGCATATAATTTTGAAAAATAGAATCTGATTGCGCGAGTTTGCAGCGCTCGTTCGTTCAATTTTTATCTCACTCGACTCTAGAACGTAATAGTTACCATATATAAATAGTGAACACGATCATTCATAACTATTCTCGTCAATGTTCCTTGTTTTATTTTGCGCGACGAATAAATAAAAACAGAGGAGCTTAGCATCGTAATTCTTTGTGTATGCGCAGTACCCGATATATCGTTTTCTTGGAACTCTGCTCGTCACGCAAAACCTTTTCTGTTCCTGTGTGTTCGATCATTAGGTCTCATCGAAGGTTGCGACGGGGATACGAAAACCGTTGTGTGTTTACATTCTTTTGTTCGCCACACTTGGATGAACTGATGGTCGGATCGACGCTGTTTCAGGCAGTGGGTTTTTTTTTTTTTTTGTTCGACGGTTCACAGATTTAACACGTGCGCGAAAATGAAACTAGAACAGTGGTTCTTAACCATTTCGAGCGTAGTTTAAAAATAGATCGAGATATGGATAAAATTGTCCACGGCTTTTGATCGCAAATAATTGGGTAATTATAGAAAACAGGTACATCCTCACCGATTTCGATGATTTTTAAATATGTTGTAGAAATCAACATTTTCCTATACGTATAACCGTCGCTCGGCCTTAGTTTCCGAGATGTTTGCACTCTTTGTTCGATTAAAAAATAAATTAGTGTATCATATCTACCGCATATAGTCAAATATTCACGCAAGTTCATTTTTAATCATTTGAAAGTAATCCGTTCAGTAACGACGTCAGTGTCAAACTAATTTTTTCTGAGCCTAAACAAACCCTTGACACCGACGTCGTTACTGAACGGATTACTTTCAAAGGATTAAACATGAACTTGCGTGAATATTTGACTGTATGCGGTAGATATGATACACTAATTTATTTTTTAATCGAACAAAGAGTGCAAATATCTCGGAAACTAAGGTCGAGCGACGGTTATATGTGTAGGAAAAAGTTGTTCAAAATGTTGATTTCTACAATATATTTAAAAATGATTGAAATCGGTGAGGATGTACCTGTTCTCTATAATTACCAATAATTGTAATAAGAAATAAATTGGATAAAGGAAACGTTGCGGTTAAGAATCATTGAACTAAGACGGAGAATAGTAGCACGCGAACGAGCGTTGCGACAAACCAAAGTTTCCGAGCTCCTTTCGAAATCTCGATTCGGGTCGATGGTATTAAAGTATCTTCAGAATACTTATAATTTCGATACTCAATTATATTTATCGTATTGTATATTATCTAGCGTGTAAGATTTAGGGTAGAATAGCTTTTACGATGGACGATTAGTTCGGTATCGAAGGTACAATTTTCGCCGCTTATTAATCATTTTTCATTAACGGACCAATTGGTAACTGAACAGTTGCACAGTTGCGTAAAATGGTACCGCTTGTTTACCTACAGCGTATACCTATTATCCGTCATCCTTAAAACGGTCTTAAAAGTGTCGATACTGCTTTTGTACACGTTTAATTTTAACCCTTTCGTCGCGGTACTATACGAATTTTTCTCCATCGTAAATGAATTAGTGATGCAAGCTCATAAATGTATGTATGTATATTAATTAACCATATTAATGTTTTTTATAACCAAAGTTCCTACAAAAGTAATTGGTAGTTATAAGTGTTAGGATATGAGTAGGAAATAAGGATGACAATTGCTACGAGACGTGCCAATGCACCGCGACTATCGCGTACGGTATGACAGACTATTTCGACTGTATAGAAAAAAGCAACATGTTGCTTAGATAACGAAACCAATTAATTGGTTCGTGCAATTGGATGCACTCAATTGGTTGTTTAGCCCTTTGCTGTCGCGCAACTTTATGGAGATAAGATTTAGACTAATACTTTGATAACGATATCAATATACATTGAGACTAATTCAGTATTTCAACGTTTGTTATTAATATTGATTGAGCTTGAGACAGCAAAGGGTTAAAAATCCGTTATTAGTCTGATTTTCCTAGATCTTAACGATACGAATTATTTGTAAGGCTGTTGTGCTTAGAATTTATTATAATTAGTACTATTCGCAAAGGTAAAAAAAGAACCAAATTTTAGCGTAGTCAACTGCAGTATTCGAAAGTATTAAATATACGCGGTAGGGTTTTGCGTGCAATTTTCCATTTACACGCGTAACGTTACCAAAGAGGAAAAGGTAGTAATAAGATCGTTTTCTCATTCGTTTTATCGAGGGTCTCGAATTATAAAGTAGATACAATTTTCAGAACAAAAACACTTTGGAACCCAAACGGTTCGTAACGGTTCACTTGCTATAATTATTAGGTTATCCAGAAAGTTCGTGGCAATTTCTAACAAAAATTAAAGGCATATAATATATATACATGTATTTATTGAATCACATAGGTGCAATTTTGTTCCACAATCTTTCCACCTTTTAACACGTTCACTGCCAGACTAATACTCTTCAAAATTTCTACTGCGATTAAATTTTGTTTACAGACTATTGGAAACTGCGTAATGAAGCATTTATTGTGGTATTTAGTTTTGTAACTTCTTCAAAGTTCAAGTATTTCATTTAAATTCATTTTCTGTGACACTTAACTTTCAGAATTAATTTTCGTAGATTTTTAATGAAAAATCACTGTCACCCATATATGGGTGACGTGGCGATCAACGAGTTAAGAGATGTATACATGTTATTTATTTTCAACCATTTCGATATACAGACTGTTCCAAAAATGTTGTAACACATTGAAAGGGGTGATTGGGAAGGTAATTTGAAACAACTTTTTCCTTAGCGAAAATGTTGTCCGAGGCTTCGTTGAGGAGATATTAACGAAAAACAATGACCAATCAGAGCGCGCGTATACCGCTACCGCGGCCGCTCCAACGGTATCCGCGCGCTCTGATTGGTCAGTGTTTTCCTTTAATATCTCCTTAACGAAGCCTCAGACAACATTTTCGCTAAAGAAAAAGTTGTTTCAAATCACCTCCCCAACCATCCTTTTCAAGGTGTTACAACATTTTTGGGACACCCTGTATTCAGACCTGTACCACCACCTACCAAAAATCGACATGGACTTTCCGGACAACCCAATACATAGAAAAAAGAATATACAACAATAACACATTTAAAATTAAAATTTAAATCCACGGTTGTCGATAAATAAAAACACAACTCGTTAAACCGTATAATATATTTAACTATATTTTTCCAAACAAGTTAAAATTGTGTCTACTTTATCAAAGAGGGCTTCTGCCTTGGGCAGCCGACTTCGCAGAGTAGAATGATTCATAATTAAACGCGAGATGACGTTGCCGTAATCCGATGCCCCAGCGTGGTTTACGATTCAGATGCAGGTGATAACGTAGTTATAGCAGCACAATAGTCCCTACGTTACGGAGGTAATTTCTTCGATGATTATTACGCCCCGTGCATTCCATACTCTCGTTCCATGTTCATTTCGCTTGTCAATATCATATACACGTGTATCCTAACACTTCATCGAGCTTGTCCCACGAGAATTGTACAAATGTTAATTTCTCCGTTACATTGCAACCTATCCTATAGGTAGAAATATATGTAATCGCGTAACGTTTAAACGAGATTTTTCCAGATAATGATCGACGATAACGATTCTTGTTTATTTTGAATTGATGCGAATCGAACGCGCGTCCAGCGGTATATTTTGGTTTGCTTTTCCACTGAGCGAAGTCGCTGAGAAACTTTTTACGGTAATAATTCATGCGTGCGCCCGAAATATTGAAATTGTAACTTTAAGGTACAATTTTGCGTACTATCGTCGTAATGTACAATATATATACACACATATTTGTATCTCGTTAATTTTTCTAACTATTAATGTATATTATTATGTTATTATTTAAGCGTACGTAGTCTGCTAATTCGTATCATGAATACTGATGTTTAAAAAACTATATTGCAATTTAAACGACTGTAACCCTTTATATCCCTATCTATATTATTATACATCAAGGTATTTTTCAATGTAACTTTGGAATTTAATTACGTATCATGTATACTCCGTTCCGTTTTTCTTTAATAGTACGAACTTGTATCTTTTATTTTCAGCTTATCTTCTATACAATCAAAAAAGGAGGAACAATTATTAGAATATTCTCGATTGTACATATTTCACTGTCAGATCGCTCATTGATACCTCGAGTAATTGGTACAACGGTTAAAAATAGAATAGACTCGTTTACCTGCACAGAATTGAGAACAATCTAGGTTTAATCGTCGAGAATCAGTAGTACACGCGGTGCGCGAATGAAATAGAAAAATAGATGTTTTATAAGTAAGTTATTAAACATCGCGTGACTAGTAGTTTCATGGAAACTGTCCGCATTTTGTGCACCGCACGCGTCGACGAGCACAAACCGTTGTTTCGTACCTCTGCGACCGGTAATAGCAATTTTGCTTCTGTTTTTTAATAATAATTGCTTACAAAAGTTTCTTACTGTTCATACTTGCCGAGTTGCTGAAGATATAGGATTGGCGATCTTTTGTTCATATATCCTTTTTTGAAGTTTATTCTTTTTAATTGTTTAAAATCGGACGCAGTATCGCGAAAATATTGTTCGGGTGCAATCAGTTGATTCGCCTCGAGTTATTGTGCGCGTGAATCAAATCGCAATTATTCACGGTACTTTGTAGCAACACCTAAACGTTTAGTAGGTAAGTAGGTCGTTTATTATACTCGTTTCTGCATGGTCGGTTAGTGGCAATTTTGGAATAAATCTTCTTCGACAGATGAAGGTTTAATTCTTGACAATGGCAAAACGGAAGGAAACAAGAAAAGTATACCTAATTTCTTCTCCCTTTTTCCATTTATTGTCAAACACCATTCGTGACAAAATAATTACGCGTGCTTTACGATTGTATTCAATGCTTAATGAATTGCTGTAGGGTCAATAATGAATTCTCAATACCCTTTCGCATTTAATTTATATTTACTGATTTAAAGCAGCTGATTATACACTTCTACACGAGTCACATACAATTACTTTATGTATTAATAATTTTGTATCGCGTGAAATATTTTTGCACCCTATTGGAAAAGTGTCATTAACACAAGTCATTTGATCAGTCACAGGAGAAATAAGTGCAAATTAAATGTCTATGATTACACACTCCTAGATAAGTCACATACAATTGTTTCATTGTATTAAATTTATTATCACGTGAAATATTTTTGCACCCCATTGAAAAAACGTTCTTAAAACCAGTTATTTGATCAATCACAGGAGAAATAAGTGCAAATTAAATGTCTATGATTACACACTCCTAGATAAGTCACATACAATTGTTTCATTGTATTAAATTTATTATCACGTGAAATATTTTTGCACCCCATTGAAAAAACGTTCTCAAAGCCAATTATTTGATTAATTGATTACTGGTGAAATCGCAAGCACAAATTGCAATTTTACTTCATAAGATCATGAAAGTATTTAATATTTATCTCGGGGTGGAGGGGCGCAAGTAATCCGTGACGTGCCCCCATTATTTGTAAAATCGAGAATCGGTCCTGGCAACAATGATAACCATTAGCCGCCTATCTGAATCTGGTAATTCCCGGTGTGTCAGGAAATACAAGGCATCCTGTGTGTACATAAACGTCGACTGGCGTTATAAATCGTTCAATAGAGGACGAGCCACTGGACGGAAAACAAGTCATGTCGCGGCTCCTCGCGTCGGCGTGTGCTATCTCGATCGTCCTAATGATTTCGGAAACCGTGTCGCTGGATCGACCTGGCCGAGGTACGACGAGACAGCTCGAATCGTCACCCTTGTTCTTGTTCCACTTGCTGAAGCTGAAGCACAAGATTCAGAGAATAGAGAACATTCCGACCATACCGACAACCGCGGATTGCATTTGCATACCTCACTATCTGTGTGACATCAACGGTACCGTCACGCCGGATAAGATCGGAACGATCGATATTCGGTGAGTGAACAAATTGTTTAAATAAAAAATAAGGAAAGTGATAGGATAGGAAATTGATAGGAAAATCAAAGTGACCTTTGGAAGACATATTTTCTTTAGTAGATATAGTTCCTTTAGTACAATTTTGTATATTATAATACTTGAAGTCGTATTCAAGGTCATATTTTTCGTTGTTGAGTGAACAAATCGTATAAATAAAAAAATTGCAAATCTCTGGCCTTGATAGGGAAATCCAAGTGATCTTTGAAACAGTAGACATATTTCCTTTGATACAATTTTGTTTCACAATTACGTAGTTGAATTTGCTTTCCAAAGCCTAGAAGACTATACTCGTGTTGCCTATTAAAAAAAAACATCAGTGATCTTGATACCTTGAAGAGAAGTAACTAAAATATTTATAATTGTTTTGGAGTCACATGTCATGTTATGTGAAGCATTCTCTATAATAAACTGCTTCCTTTTTTATAGCAAACAAAGTGACCAAACAAAAATAAATTAACTAACATTAGTTACTTTAATTTTAGATATAGAAGATGTACGGGTGACTTGGAAGTCTGCTGTCGCCTGGTGAACGCAACCACCACGACAACTACTACTACAACTACGACCATGCGAACTACCACGACAACTAAAGCAACTACTACAACAACTAAAGCAACTACTACAACAACCAAAGCACCAACGACCACGACCACAACTCTTCCGCCAATTATATTCCCGAATTCAGAATCCCCTAATGCTGAAATCTGTGTATGCGTGCTGGTGACGCAATGCGATCCAAATGGAATCATTGGATCGTCAGGCGAGGGTGTGATCAACCCCCGAATACAATACGTCCAATGTCCCAGCAGCAATCAGGTCTGTTGCATGCCAACAGCAGTGATACAGTATCCTACAACTCCTCCAACTGCTCGTCAAATCTGCGTCCTTTGTGGAAGCACGATCCAGTGCAGCAATGGGGTCGTGGTTCCCGTGAACGTCGGGGTCGTGAACCCCGTGGTGACCTACCAACAAACGTGCCCAGTGCCCACTACCTGCTGCCAAGGGATTAATCCAATATACAACAACGGGATTCCAGTGGTACTGGGGCCCGTCAGGTACGCCAACACTCCTCAGGCTTGTTACTGCGTCAAGAGCTGGCTTTGCGCCCCTGGAAACTCGGTCAGTTGGGATAACGCTGGCGCCATTGACCCCAGGTCAGTTTGGAATGATTCCATTAACTGGATAATCGATTAAATTTACACTTTGTTTAGCTTTTTATTTAGAGACAGTTCATAGCTTGAAAAAGAATTGTTTACATTAGGAATATTAGAAGTAATTTACACTTTGTTT